AAAATTAGGAAGAAAAGGATAAAATCAGTCCCATTGTGGTATCAAGAGAAATAAAAAAGAAAATTGGAGATGTTGAAATGGTAAAGATTTTGAGAGACGGAAACCTATTGGTGATATGTAAAGATATAGAACAAAAGAATAAGGCTTTAAATGTGGAGAGTATCTGCAAAAGAACTGTTCTGGAGAAAAAAATCATGGGAGAAAATAAAAAAATTAGAGGAGTGTTTTATGGGATCCCTCTTGATGAAGATCTTGATAAAATCAAGAGAAGTGTTGTGGGTGCAAAGGTGAACAACTTGAAAAGATTATCAAAAACAGTGAATGGAGAAAGAGTAGGAAGCTTGTCAATCCTTATTGAATTTGAAGATGAAGAGCTGCCAAAAAACATCAAAATAGGATACCTCAATTTTCAGGTCAGACCATATGTACCTCCACCACTTCGGTGTTTCAAATGCCAAAGATATGGACACATAGCAGCAGTCTGCAAAGGGAGGCAAAGATGCCCAAAATGTGGAGAAGATCACAAATTAGAAGAGTGTAAAGAAGAACAAGAAAAATGTTGTAACTGTGGAGGGAACCATAGAGTCACGTTTGGAGGATGCGAAGTAAGGAAAAGGGCAAAAGAAATCGTACAGATTAAAACAACTAAAAACATAAGCTATGCAGAAGCAGTTAAGAATGTGAAGGAACAGGAAACAAGAGAGATTAAACAAACAGTGAGACAGACTACACAACAAAGCAAAGTACAGACAGAAGAAAAAGCCACAATTCCAGTGGAAAAACTAATATTATTCATAGCTTATGTTATCAACTGCACTGACCAAGCCAAACACAAAACTGAGAAGATTAAAATAATAGTGAGAGGAGCTGAAAAGTTTTTGGGATTTAAAGAGGGATCATGGGAGAACATAAATAAAAAGTTGGAGGAAGATGGGAGACCAGGACCTTCGGGTGAAAACGGTTCATGTTAATACTACAATGGAACGCTAGAAGTTTAATCGCTAATGGACAGGAACTTAAAGGTTATATTGATGAGCTGGAAGAAAAACCGGAAATTGTTTGTGTTCAGGAAACATGGTTAAAAACATCATTAGATTTTGAGATCAAAGGATATGATAGTGTAAGAAGAGATCGACCAGAGGGAAGTGGAGGAGGATGTGCAATATTTATCAAAAAAGGAATACAATATCAGATATTGGGGAAAGGGAAAGAACTAGAATATGTAGTAATTGAGATATGGGAAAAAGAAGGTAAATTAAAAATAATAAATTTTTATAATCCATGTAAAACATTATCGATTGAAATAATGGAGGAGTTAACTGAATATTTGGAAGGGAAGGTAATTTGGTGTGGAGATTTTAATGCAAATAGTACAGTGTGGGGTAAATGTAATGATAAAAACGGACAAGTTGTAGAAGAAATAATGGAAATGAAAAATCTAGTATGTATTAATGATGGAAAGGGAACAAGAATCAATATAAGAACAGGGATGGAATCAGTTATTGATTTAACAATTGTCTCAAATGTTTTAGCTGGTATTTGTGATTGGTTTATTGATAAAAAATCTACAATAGGTAGCGATCATTACCCCATAATAGTAAGAGTAGGGCTAAATTTAAATAATAGGAATATTAAAATTGGGAAAAAGTATAATTTTAATAAGGCTGACTGGACTAAATTTAGATATTTGAGTCAAATAAACTTAGAAAAAGTAGACATGAGTATGGATATAAATGATTTAAATTTAATAATTGGTAAAATAATAATGGAAGCAGCAGATAATTCTATAAAGAAATCAGGGAGTAAGAATGATAAGAAAATGGTTCCATGGTGGACAAATGAGTGTAAAGAAGCAATAAAGTTAAGAAATAAAGCATTTAAGACACTCAAACATAATCCAATTTATAAAAATTTAATTGATTATAAAAGAAAACAAGCAATAGTAAGGAGAACTATAAAGAATGCAAAAAGAGAATATTGGAAAAAATTCTGTAATACGATAGGGAAAGAAACAAAAATAGAGAAAATTTGGAAGGTAATCAAAATAATGAATGGTATTAAAAGAGAGTTTGACTATCCTGTACTAAAAATAGATGATACAAACATAATAAGAGATGAAGATAAAGTTGAAATATTGGCAAGAACATTCAGTAAAATTCATAGTTCAAATAATATTAGTGAAAATGGAAGAAAAGGTAGAGAAAATACAAAAATTAAATATAAAGATTTTATACAGAGCGTTGAAGAAACAAATAATTTGTTAAATGTTGAGTTTACAAAAACGGAATTGAACAATGCACTTAAAAAGACAAAAAACACAGCACCAGGTAAAGACCAAATCTGGTATAGAATGATAGGGCAACTTAGTGAAAAATCTAAAGATATAATATTACACCTATATAATAAAATTTGGGAGGAGGGAAAATTACCGTTGAACTGGAAGGAATCAATTATTATACCAATAGCCAAACCAGGGAAAGATCATTCAAACCCAGAAAAC